GCAGCCCGCGGGTGAGCGGGTGTGGGCGTGGCTGCCGCCATGGCGGGGCGGGGCTGGCTGGGTTCGGGGGGCAGGGAGGGCAAGGGGCCCTACGTGGCAGCCTGCCGCTGGGGGGGGCCATGCCGCCCGCCATCGCAGGTGCAGTTTGCGCTACACTGCCCTCGACCACGCCGACCCTCGCCAGCCCCAATACTGCAGTTTCGGGCCAGCCCCCTCCCGCCAAGCCACGGCCCGGCGGCAGCGGATCGCGGGCCCACCCTGCCTCCACGCCGAAGCGCCGGCGGCAGCGGGCGCCACCAGACCGCCCCTCCCCACACACACGCAGCAGGCCGCCCTGCCTGCCTGCCCCCCCAAACACGCAGCAGCCCCATGCCTGCCTGCCTGCCCCCCCACCGCATGGCCGACAGCAGCAGCAGGCCCCCTGCCTGCCTGCCTGCCCCTCCCCACCCACACGCAGCAGCAGGCCCCCCCACAGCCGCACCCTCTCACCTGATGGCCGCCGTTAGCTCCTCCAGGCTGAACATGTGGTGGTCCTCGTAGTCGCCGCACCCCTCCACGTGCGCCGCGCCCAGGCGCTGCAGGTGGCGCTCCACGGTCTGCGGGGCAGGGAGGGGCAGGGCAGGTGGGCACTGAGGGAGAGAGGGAGAGGGAGGGAGAGGCAGAGGAGGGGGGGAGAGAGAGAGAGAGAGACGGTGGCTGGTTGGGAGGCAGGGAGGGGGCGGAGCCGCGGGAGGCAGGGGCGGGAGGAAGGGACTGCCAGGAGGCCCAGCATGGCGCAGACTTGGCGCGGGGCGCAGCACAGCAAGGCAAGGTACAGCGCGGCACAGGCCCAGCCCAGCCCAGCATGACGCCCGGCAGGCGACACACAGCACGGCGACACATACGATCCTCATCATCTGTCTGCTGCCTACGGCGCCTCACCTCGGGCTTGCCGATGCCTACCAAGCAGATGACCGCCGCCTGCGTCAGCCGGCTGAGCGGCAGGCACTCCCCCAGCCCCGACTGGATGCTCATGTCTGCGGCGGGCAGCGGGCGGGCAGGAGCAGGGAGGGGGCAGGCAGGAGGCTGTCACCAGCCGCCGACGTGCCTGGCCTGCCACACAGAGGGCCCCAGCCAGCCGGCAGCCACACCCTCCGCAGCAGCAGCAGCAGCAGCATCCTGCCGGGGCGGGCCAGGCTGCCCAGTGCCCAGCGGGTTCCCACCTAGGCTGCCCGTGGGGGGTATGAGCGAGCGCAGGCCGGTGGGCGCCATCTGCGTCTGCAGGAAGATGGTGTGCCGCGGCGCCACCGACGTCAGCTGCCGCTGCACCGCCTCGCGCCGCTCAGGGCCTGCAGGCCAAAGGCGGGCACGCGCACACCAAGCTGCCGTCGGTGAGATGGGCGGGGTACAGCTGTACAGCGATGGGCAGAAGCTGGCAGCAAGGAGGCGGCACCCATCTGCCCCCAGGCAAGGGCATCACGCACGCATCCGCCGCTGTTGAACACGAGCGCCTGCCCGCACAGCATCCTGGTTGGACAGAGCTGCAGCCGCACAGCGCACCTAACAAGTCGACGTTGTGCAGTACCAGCGCGTCCGCCCGCCGCAGCGCCTGCTTGGGCAGCTCCCTTAGTGTACCGCTGCACAAGCAGGAGCATGCCGCAGGCCAAGGGTCACCCGGTCGCCACGAACCCACAGGGGCGCCTTATTCCACGGCGGGGGCGGCGGGGGGTGGCCTGCCGCTACTCCGCCGCGTTGCCGCCCGCGCAGGCAGGCGGCGGCAGCGGCGGCGGGCGGCGGCGGCGGCAGGCAGCCGGCTGCCACGGCTCGCCCCGCAGCCCATGCAGGCGACCGCGCTTGCGCTTGCCAAATCACCGCGGCAGCAGGTGCCCGTTGCCGAAGGGCGACAGCGAGTTCACCATCACCACCTCCAAGTCCCTGCACGCGGCGCCCAGCCGCGGCCCAGGCATGCACAGTGAGGCAGGCAGGCAGGCAGGCAGGCAGCCGCCATGCACCACACCACAAGACCAGCACACACGCTCACCCCGTCCCGCATCTCGCACCAGCTGCCAGCCAGCAGGCAGGCAGGCAGCAGTCCCATGCCCCACCCGTGCAGCAGCGACGCTGCGGAGCCTGGCCAAGGAAGGGGGGCCGCCAGCCCGCCAACAGACCCCACCACCACAATAGACATAAGACACAGATGTCCTGACCAAGCACATTGCATCACAACAAACCACCCGTGCACCACCGCCGCCTGCGGCCCACCTGGTGAGCGCCAGGTTCTGCAGTCCGTCATCCAGCAGCGCCAGCCGCGTGTCGGGATTCTCCCGCAGATACTCCCTGGCTTCCGAGGAAGTTGTGGAGCAGTCGTGCACGTACACGGGCAGCCCCTCCAGCACGTGACGCAACATGATGGTCTCGTCTACTGTGCCGCCGCCGCGCTGCGAGGGGTGGGGCGCCAGGCAGGCGGGCGGCGCGGTGTGGGGCGGCGTGGGGTGAGGGTAGGGGAGAGGCTGCGGGAGGCAGACAGGAGGGAGGAAGACGGGAGGCAGAGGCGCGGCTGCCGGCTGGCCGGCCGTGGCTGTGCCCCCCCCCTGCCTGCCTGCAGCGGCTGCCTGCACCGCCTGCCCTGCACCGGCTCACCTGCAGGACCATAGTTGGCATCTTGTGCACGGACACATAGTGGCGGGCCAGGAACTCGACAAAAGGCGTCTTGCCGGTGCCACCGTTTGTGAGGTTTCCGATGGAGATGACGGGGCAGGGCAGGCCCAGTGGGCGCAGCATGCCCTGCCGGTAGAAGAAGTGGCGTGTGGAGTGGTAGGAGGCGTAGAGCGCCGCCAGCAGGCGCAGGGCCGGCGCCAGCACGTATTTGGAGGATGCGGGGAAGGCCCTGCGGGCGGCGGCGGGCGGGCGGCGGCGGCAGAGGGTGGCGCAGCTTGGAGCGGGCGGGCGGCAGGTGGGCCATCGGCGATGCCGCGGCACAGCTGGCGTTTGCAGGCTGTAGGCAGGGCTCGACAGCTGAAGGGCCCGCGGGCAGGCCGGCAGTGGGTGGCAGCCTCACTTGAGATGGGCATCGTCCACAGCTTGGATGTCCTTGACCCGTCTTCTGAGCGCGCAGGTCGCCCTCTCCCATGGGCCTATCCAGCGGCCTGCCGACATCGAGGCCCCAACCCTGCCCAACAACGCTCGACTGGCTCCTGGATGATGTTCTTGTGTCACGGCGAAAAACAGGGGGTCGCCATTTGCGCCATCAGCTGTGCATTCGGCCATCTGACCGTACACCCTGCGTACCGCGACTGGCGGCGGTTAGGAGCCGGCATGCTGTGATGCACAGGAGGACCTGCCGAGGCCCTGCTACTTTGACCGTCAAGGTCTGTTCTTGTCGATCAGTTTACGGTGCTGCCCAGGGTACTGAATGCGCGCCCACTCCAGTTGTAGGAAAGGCGCGCACAAAAGGGACCGGTCAAGTACTAGTCATAACATGAAAGTGCTGATCCCAGCCACGACCCTGCTCTAATGTGCTGCTGCCTACACACTACTGCTACTACGAACAAAAATAGCGGCCTGCCGGGGTCGGATCGCCTACCATCGTGATACGCTCTGAGCCCCCGCCAGCCCGCGCCAGCGGCACGCCGGGGCCTTCTGATCTGATGCATTCTGTGCATCACGTTGTGAGGAACAGGTTGACCAAGCCCTTCAGGTACATCACGATCTCCTGGGATCCCAGCTTGGAGGCGCCAAAGATGCGGTCCACAAACACGATCGGCACCTGCATGACAACAGGTGGGCATGACATCAGGCGGGCAGGCCAGGAAGAAGGGAAGGCACAGGTGCAGCTCCAGGGCGCACTCAGGAGGCGCACCACGGGCCCGCCAGCCCTCGTGCCCCAGTGCAAAGCCGGAGCCGCCCAGCCCCGCAGCCCCTGCCTCCCATCCCATCCCATCCCACTCCACCCCTCACGCAGTCCTTCACCTCCTCAAGACGAGGCCCTGCACTGCTTCCCTCCACCACCTCCTCAAGACAAGGCCCCCCACAGCCCCCCTCACCTCCTCAATCGTGTACCCCAGCCGCCTGGCCCGTACCGCAATCTCCATCTGGAAAGCGTAGCCCTTGGAGGTGCACAGCGACATGACGGCGTCCAGGCAGGGCTTGCGGAAGAGGCGGAAGGAGCCGGTGAGGTCCGAGACCTGGGGTGGTGGTGGTGGAGCGGCAAGGGGGGAGAAGGGGGAGACGAGTGAGAAGAAGGTAGGTGGGAAGATTGGTGGTTGGGTGGAGGTGCATGGGGAGGTGGCGAGACTGGCACAGAGAGGTGCACAGGGCGCTGAAACGGGCCCGGAAGGGGTGGGGAGGCCAGTGCCAGCCCAGCAAGGGACCAACCGCCGACACCAGCCAGCAGCCAGACCAGGGACCTGCCCCTCACCCCAGGCTGCAGCAGCGTCTGCGCCAGCAGGTTAGCGCCGCGGCTGGTCAGCTTCCGCTTGAAGTTCCAGCCATACACGCCGCCGCCCTGGCGGTACCGCGTCCCCGTCACTGCGCCCAAGACAAGGAAGCAAGAGCCAAACTTGAGTTCCGTAAGGGTGCGGCAAGAGGGCGATCCGCGGCGAGCTGGAACAAGCGGTGGCACCTTGCATTCCTTGCCGATCCCGTCCCACCACCCCCATCACTGCCGCCCACCAACGTCGCACCCCACGGCTGCCAGCTTGCTGCTGCCGCAGCCAGGCCACCCCTCGGCACCCTCCACCCAGGCCACCGCCTCGACCATGCTGCCGCCCACCTATGTCGCACCCCGTGGCCGCCTGCTTCTTGAGCATGGCGGGTATGTACTTGGGGTGGTGGCTGAGGTCGGCGTCCATCAAGATGACAAAGTCGCCGCGGGCAGACTGCAGGCCGTGCACGTAGGCGGTGCCCAGGCCCAGCTTGCCGGGGCGCGGGCGCAGCAGGATCCTGCGCGGTAGCGGCAAGGGTGTGCGCGAGGGCGACGGGACGGTGCAGGCGTGGTGGAGCGACCGAAGCAGGCAGCGGTGGCTGGGTGTGCTTGGGGCAGTGCGAGGCGTGGTGGAGCGACCGAAGCAGGCAGCGGTGGCTGGGTGTGCTTGGGGCAGTGCGAGGCGTGGTGGAGCGACCGAAGCTGGCAGCGGTGGCTGGGTGTGCTTGGGGCAGTGCGAGGCAAGGCTGCTGCATGTTGAGGACCTCAGCGATGCAACACACAGGGGCCCCTGCTCGTGACGCCGCCGCAAGCGCGCTCGCCGCACCTGTCTTCTCCATACTCCCGCTGCAGCTGCCGCACCACATCCTGCGTGCCATCGGGGCTGGCGTCATCTATCACGATGATCTCATAGTCTATCTCGCTGCAGGGGGGGCAGGCGGGGGAGGCTGCCGTTGCCGCTGGCGATGGGCGGCATGGTGCCTGCTCCCTGCCTCAGCTTCACCCACTTCTTCTCGAACGTCTCCACCAGCAGGTAAACGATCAATGGGATGTTCTCCCGCTCGTTATATGTCGGAAGCAGCACGCTAAACTTGGCGGACTTGCTGCTGCTGCTAGGGGCGGCTGCCTTGGATGTCCTGCGAGTAGCGGCCATCGTGCATTCTGCTGGGGCGCAGGCAGCGCGCATCAGGCCCCCCGATTTACGGAAAACCGAGTTGTCCTGCCGTCCTGCAGACACTCCGCAGCCCGTTGCGGCCCCCGATCACGCCGCTCTTCGTTCTGCCTGGTCGCTGGGCCCCACCGGGCCCTCTCTTCAACGCCTGCGCCTCCTGTAGCCGTGAACAAAGAATCCGATCGAGTGAGTTGAGGGCCATCGCCACCCTGCGGTTTCACCAGCTGCTAGATCGCATCCCTGAACGACAGCGCCCGGGCCGCGCTCACACCTGACAGGGGCCGTTTGTGTGTGGCGGGGTGATCGCCGGGGCTGCCGGCGCTGCACGCTCACCTTGAGGCTGGTCACCCGGGCCATGGCTCACAGCCCGGTTTCAGCGATGCACCCTATGCTCTGACCGGGCACCGACCCCCATGCCCGCCGCAGGCGGTGGCACGCAGGCGCGGACGCCTTCACACGTTTACTGCAGCCACAGCGGCAGCCGCGCCTCATCCCAGTGGCTTCGTTGCCGAATTGCCTGGCCTTGAGCAGCAGCAGCAGCAGCCATGGCGAGCTACATCAAGCGGGCCAACCGTTCGGCCACGCTCAGCTTCTGCCCCGGCGGGCCGTTTCTGGCGGCGGGCAGCGTGGCGGGCGCCATAGACCTCTCCTTCTCGACCGCCAGCCAGCTGGAGATATTCCGCCTCGACTTCTCCAGCACAGACCAGGACCTGCGGCTGGCGGGGGGCGCGGTGCAGGCCCCCGAGCGCTTCTCCCGCCTGTGCTGGGGACCTGCGGGGGTGGACACAAAACACTACCCGGTGCGTGCCGCCGCCGCCGCTGCTGCGCCTGGTGGTGTTGTGCAAAGCCGCTCGTGGGGCTGCTACCACTGCTGCTGCTGCTGCTGGGAAGGGGACGTTGCCCCTCGGTTGCTGCGGCTGCACGCTGCTGCCAGGCCGCCTGCTCGGTAGCACGTGCCGGTCGCGCCGATGTGCTGCTGCTGTCGCCGCTGGCATTACAAGCACCCTGCACACCCTGTGCTGCAGTATGGCCTCATCGCGGGCGGCCTCGCCGACGGGTCGGTGTGTGTGTGGAACCCTGCCCGCATCATCGGGCACAAGGCGGAGGCGGCGGTGCCCGCGTCGCCCGCCGCCACCCGCGGCCAGCTGCTGGCGCGGCTGCAGAAGCACCAGGGGGCCGTGAAGGGCCTGGAGTTTAACGGGTTCAGGTGCGGCTGCTGCTGCTGCTGCTGCGGTGCGGTGGCGGGTGGTGGTGCGGCACTGCTGCTGCTGCTGCTGGTGCATGGTTGCGGCATCGGTTGGGGGTGGGGCTGCCGCTGGGGCTGCGGCTGCTGCGGCTGCTGGCCCCGCTGAGCCACACCTCCCTCTGCTACCCCCCCGCCCGCCTGCAGCCCCAACCTGCTGGCCTCGGGGGGCGCCGACGGCGAGCTGTGCATCTGGGATGTGGGCAACCCCATGCAGCCCTCGCTGTATCCCGCCATGAAGGGCGGCGCAGGTGCGGGAGTGGGGGAGTGGTGGTCGCTGCGGTTGTGTGCGTGCGTGGTGGCGGCGGCATGCTGGGGTGATGTGCTGAGGACATGCTAATACGTGGAAAGTAGGATTGACAGGGCACGTGGGTCGGGAGGCCCTGCCAGCTGGCCCGGCGCCCGCCCTACGCTCCTCCTCCGCCCACGCCCACTCCCCTGACCGTCTGCCTGGCTGCCTGGCTGCTTGCCCCGCCACCCGGCGCCGCCCGCAGGCGGCCCCCAGCCCGAGATCACCCACCTGGCCTGGAACCGGAAAGTGCAGCACATCCTGGGCACCTGCACGGCGGCGGGGACGGTGGTGGTGTGGGACCTCAAGAAGCAGCGCCCGGTCATATCCTTTAAGGACCCCTCGGGGTGAGGGCAGGGGTAGGGTTGGGGTTGGGGTGGGGTGGGGTGGGGTGGGGTGGGGCCTGAGTGTGCCGGTATGCGCATGTGTGTGTGGGCATTTGCGGTGCGCGCGGTGGTGCCCTGGGTTGGCGCGGTGCTGAGCCAGGCGTGTTGCCTTGCCTCCTCCCCCTCCACACACCCCCCAAACCTGCCTGCCCACGCCCGCGCAGGCGCAAGCGGTGCTCCGCGCTGCAGTGGAACCCCGAGGTGGCCACCCAGCTGGTGGTGGCCTCCGATGATGACATGGCACCCTCCCTGCAGGTAGGGGGGTGGCGCCCGGCCGGCGGCGGGGCTGGGGTCAGCCCGGAGTGGCGGCTGCGCGGGCCAGCTTAGGGTCAGCCGGCTCTCCACGCCATGCGCTGCGGCCCACCCCGCCTCCTCCTGCTCCCACCCCCTGGACTCTCCTCCACTCCCACCTCCTGGCCTCTCCTCTCCCCTCCTCTCCTCCCCTCTGCCCTCCTGCTCCCACCCCTTTGCCTCTCCTCTCCTCCCCTCCCACCCCCTGGACTCTCCCCTTCCCCCTTCCCTTCTGCCCGCAGCTGTGGGACCTGCGCAACAGCGTGTCGCCCATCCGCGAGTTCCACGGCCACGCCAAGGGCGTGCTGGCCATGTCGTGGTGCCCCCAGGACTCCTCCTTCCTCCTCTCCTCGGGCAAGGACAACCGCACCATCTGCTGGGACGTGGGCGCGGGTGAGAGCGCTGGGGAGGGGAGGGAGGGAGGGGCAGCTAGAGGAGGGCTGGCAGGAGGGAGGGAGGGAGGGAGGGACAGCTAGAGGAGGGTTGGCAGGAGGGAGCGAGGGGCAGCTAGAGGTGGACAGGAAGGAAGGAGGAAGGGGGCGATTCCAGGAGACGTGTGCACGCTTTAGGGGCTGGCTGTGCAGCCAGCGGCAGCCAGCGGCAGCGCTTGCAGTTCTGCGGTACTGACTGCTGGCATGCGTCTGTACCGCAGGTGAGATGTACTGCGAGCTGCCTCCCGCCGCCAACTGGAACTTCGATGTGCAGGCAAGGCCGCCGCTTGTTCCTGCTCCTGCTCTTGCCCTGTGCCAGCCCTCTCGGTGCCGCTCTTGGGCGGGCGGAGCGCGGCCTGCAGCAGCCGCCGCCCGGCGCTTGCCTGCACGCCGTGGTCGACGCCGTGCCACACGCCGCCCACCCCTCGGCCTCCCGCTGCCTGTGCCTGCCTGCGCTTGCAGTGGGCGCCCGGCCCGCTGGCGGGCGTGTTTGCCACTGCCACTTTTGAAGGCCAGGTCGGCATCACCTCGCTTTCTACCTGCACCGCCGCTGGAGAGGCAGACGGCTTCGCGATCGGCCAGGGTGGGTGGCGTGCCTGCTGGGGCCTGCTTGGGGACCTGCTGGGCCCCGCTCGGCTCGGCTGGCTGGCTGGCCGGGACCTGCTTCGCTGGCCTGCTTGCGGGTGTGCCCGCACGCTGTGTTGGGCTGTGCTGGGACGCAGGCCGGGGAGGGCGGGCAGCAAGCTGCACGCCAGCACTGGGCAACCACACACCTCACAGTCGCAGCGTGCTGCTGCCGCTCTGCCCCGCTGCAGGCGCCACAACCGCCTACAAGACCAAGGCCCCCGCCTGGCTCAAGCGCCCGGTGGGCGCCACGCTGGGATTTGGCGGCAAGCTGGCCCAGTTTGCCAACAGCAAGCGGCAGCTGGCGACGGGAGAGGCGGCGGTCACCGGCTCAGTCACTATCAGCCAGGTGGGCGCTGCGCCAGGGCTGTGCAGTGATGGGCCGCGGGGCTGTGCGGCTGTGGGCCGCGGGCAGGGCTGCGTGCTGTGATGTGCTGTGTCGCGCTGTGATGTGCCATGCTGTGCTGTGATGTGCTGTGCCACGCCACGCCACGCCACGCCAGGCCACTGGAAGGCACGCGGCCCCTGGTTGTGGCAACAACTGTCGGCTTCCACCGCGCGCCGCGCCGCACACCTGCTCCCTCTCGCGCCCCACCACACGCCCCCTCCCTCCCTCCCTCCCCTCTCACCCCCTCCCTCTCCCTGCCTAGCAGGTCATGACTGAGCCAGAGCTGGTGGCCCGCAGCGAGGCATTTGAGGCGGCCATCCGCGGCGGCGACCGCGACGCCCTCGATGCTTTCTGCCGAGACATGGAGCGGCGGGTGGGTTTCGCAGCTGGCTCAGGCGGTGGCGGTGGTGGTGTGGGGGGTGAGGCTTGGTGGGTGGCGGGGCCGGTGCTCAGGTGTGTGAGTGTGTGTGGCGGTGAGGGTGGTGGTTTGGATGCATGCGGTGCGGGCTGCGAGGTGACTGCCGCCGGTGTGGCAGGGCTTCGGTCGGGGCGGGCCAGGCTGCTGCCTTCTGGCTGCCTCCTGGCCGGCGCCGCGTGTCCACCGGCGCCCTCTGCCAGCAGGCGCCGACCCGGCCCTTGCCGTGCCTGCGCCGCGCCTGCGCTCACCTGCTGCCTTTGTTGCGCTGCGATGCTTTCTTTGCAGCTCGAGGGCAGCGAGGAGGCGGAGACGTGGGCCTTTCTTCAGACCCACTTTGCCGCCGACGGCCGCAAGTACCTGCTGGAGCGGCTGGGCTTTGGGGAATACCTGCCCGTGGATGCCGAGGCGGCGGCCGCCGCCGCGGCCGCAGAGGCCAGCGCTGCAGGCGGGGAGGGCGACGCGGCGGCCGCGGCAGACGCGTTTTCGGCGGCCGCGGCGGCGGCCGAGGGCGTGCAGCAGATGGGGCTGGAGGCGCCGGCAGGGGCGGCAGCTGCCGAGCAGCTGCTGGCCGGCGACGGCGCCGACTTCTTCGAGCAGAGCCCCGTGACAGGTGTGTCTGGGCAGGTGTTTGTTTTGTCCCTGTGTTTGCGTCACCTGTGGTGTCGCAAGGGTAGAGGAGTGTCTGGGTGTTGAGTAGATGGTGTCACAAGGGTGGAGCAGGGGGGAGGGGGTGGGGGGGCATTCACAGGCGGGCTTGTTGGATTGGTGGCCTGGCTGAAGCAGGACAGGGCGGCATGGTGGCCTAGGAGGCCCCGCCCGCATCCCACCCACCACCAGCAGGCTGCCCCCCTCTGGAATTCCCTCGCCTTGCCGCCCCTCGCTTTCCCTGCCCTGGCCCGGCCTCCGACCCCGCCCGCGCCTTCCCCTCCCTCCTGCAGACGGTGCCGCCTTTTTCGACAACCTGGCCGGCACGCCGCCCCGCCCCACCTCTGCGCTGTCCCCAGCCAAACGGTCCGCGCCCGCCAGCCCCAGCCAGGCGGCGCCGGGGGAGGGGGCGGTGGTGGACGGCCCCCCTGGAGAGCGGGAGGCGGACATTCAGAGGATGCTGTTTGTGGGCAACTATGCGGGGGCGGTGGAGGCCTGCCTGGAGGTGCGCCGCTGCTGCGTGGCTTGTGTGCCTTGTGTGGCGTGTGCGTTGCGGGTTGTGTCTGTTGTGTGTGTGGCGCGTGGATGGTGTAGCTGCGTGGAAGGGGGCAGCATGGGCGTGCGTGCATGTGTGTTTGGGCTGGTGGGGTGGGCGGGGTGGAAGGTGGCAGGGTGTGAGGGCCGCGTTGCGATGGTGGGGTGTGGATGCCTGTCGCCTGCCCGCGCCGCCAACGCCCACCTGCATCCCCGCCCACCCCCGCCCACCCCTGCCCCTGCGCCTCCACCCCCCTGCCCTGTCCCCGCAGGCCAAGCGCCACGCCGACGCTCTGGTGGTGTCGTCTGTGGTGGGAGGCGAGCTGTGGGAGGGCGCCCGCAAGGCATACATGATGGCACACCCCCGCCCATTCATGCGCATGCTCCACGCAGT